AATAAATCAATAAATATTATCATTTATATATGAATTAAATAAAATTTTACAAATGTTTATTTATTATGTTTGTTTAAAATTCTCCCCCCCCGCCTAAACCCAAAATCTTGACGTTAACCAACTAATTACCTTTAAGCGGCCTTAGTCTATAAATAGAGTCCATTCAATTATATTTTCTTGTTAATTCTAGGTTGAAGACATTTGATGAAATTATCTATTTCCTTACTTCCACTTGTCCACTCGCGAATTATTATGTCTGAATCACATGTCTGACACCATGCTTGATACGCAATGTGTGCATTTTCCACATATATAATACCTAATAATATTTTTATATTAGTTATTTTACGTTGTTCTTGTGACCTTTAAATCGAAAAATCGGACACAAATAATTTTATGCTCACTTACTAATTAATGCGAATAAAATGGAATTAAATAACCTTTCCCCTTGCTAGTCATCTTTGTGCATAATTTATGATTTAATCGTGCGCTTGTGTATTAATAATTTAAAAAATATTTACTGAGCTTTTGCTCAAATTACTTATTAAACTTTCACTCCAATAGTTTTTTATATAACTTATTAAACCTTCGCTCAAATTACTTACCGAACCTCTTATTAAATCTTACACAAACTATTTTTTTATATAACTTACTGAACCTTCACTCAATTTACTTACTGAACTTCCGCTTAAATTACTTATTAAACCTTCTCTCAAATTATTTTTTATGCAACTTACTGAGCCTTTACTCAAATTACTTACTGAATCCTCGCTCAAATTACTTATTAAACCTTTGCTCAAATTATTTTTTATCTAACTTACTGAACCTTTACTTAAATTATTTTTTATATAACTTACTGAATTTTCATTTAAATTATTTTTTATATAACTTATTGAATTTTCACTTAAATTATTTCTTATATCAGTAAAAAAATTACTTAATAAAGCTTAATGTCCGGCGCTAATAGCTAGATGAGTTTAATTAATAATGTATCACATGCGTGCAATGCTTTTTGTGAATTTTATCTTTTTTTGTATATATAATATATAAACATAATAAACATAAATTAAAACTTAGTCAATAACATATAATTACAACAGCATAACAGATAATTAGTAAAATTCAAATTATCCGTTCATACAGATAAATTAGTTCTATCTCAAAACTGGTAGTGGGCAATAATGAAGTTAGTTAAGAGGTATAATTAAGAAGTTTAAGGGTTATTTAAGAATTATTCTTCACCATAAGAGTTTGGTGTTTAAGAATTATTTGGTATTAGTATTATTATCATTTATTTGTCATTTTAATGTCATTTATAAAAAATATTTTTTATGCCTTGTCATTTTGCCACGGTTTTTTATACCGGTAATGTCATTTACAGTCATTTTAATAAAAACTTTTATGACTTTGTCATTTGCCATCACTGGTTTCTACTGCATCTCTAATCTAAACTAGTATAGGAGAGTAAAAAATTAGGCATGACTGGGTGTCCAGGATTATAATGTGCATACCGATAATACTGTATACGCATAATAGCGGGTATCTACGCGTTATTTTGATAAAAGGTCATTTCAAGACAGATTTTATTATAATATAAATTTACATTTGCATGAAGGCGTTTTTTCGGGGCGCGCATGAACGTTATTTCGAACCTAAATATGCTATTTTAAGGGGGCATGATATTTGATATAACGCCCATGCCATCCATTTCGAGAATTTATGGTAAATACTATCTATTTATTCCTTGTTTTGTATGATAATATCATGACGGTGATTTAGCGACTTATAATCATTAATTAATAATCATTAATTAGTGAAAAAAAAGATTCCAAAACGTTTGTTATTTCCTGGTTTTACTGAAGAAATAACAAGCGTTGCTAAACAAAGTTTCAAGCAAAAATATATTATGATCATTGGTCGATTTAGTATCGGCACGTATCAAAAAGCAGAGCTAATTGATCAGATATCTTCATCACGTAAATTTCAGAAACACGTAAAAGTAATTATGCATGCAAAATAATCGAGCCACTAAAAAAAAAAAAGTTACAGAAATATATGAAAGATAAAAATTGTTCGTCTTCTAATACAATAGGGCTTCTTTTACCAAAGAAGAAGAATGATGTTGATATTGTTGAGTCCTGTGATAAAATTGTTACATTTGAGAATTGTGATGCAGTTTTAACATTCTACGATGGTGTGGTCCTAAGAGTTAATGACGCATGTATAAAAGCATGAACGTCTTTCAATTTTTTAATATAAGCCAACCTTTTATATATGCATCGCATTTCTAATGAGTCGTCAGCGATATTAATTGTAAAAATTGATAATATAGTTTTCATTACTAAATATCCTTTTACTTTTAGACATTCTCGGTAAATCAATAGCATCTTTGGTAAACTATTTAATTTTTTATGATCTTGCGCACGCTTATTTGAAGAAAAATTCCGAACAAAATATGAGTAAGATATTTTAACACTACGTATTAATATATACAGTAGAATTTGCCCATCCCTATTTATATTTTAGGTAGCGCACCCACAAAAATTTTCCTACCCCCGTAATTTATAAAACCGCGTTATAATTAGGGTTAGAGCGAGAACAATATAGGGTTAGGGTTAGAGTTAGGATTATCGCTATTGGTAAAATTTCACACGGAACATTTTTTATTAGGCCGCAGAAGGTGGTTTCTTAATTAAAATTTCGAGTTATTTCAGTTTATTTGTAAAAAATGGGTTCGCTTCGTTTGTTTACGTTACACCTGATCTTGAAATTTGATTGGCCAAAAAATCACGGGAGGGGAAAATTTTTGTGGGTGCGCTAGGGGGTTCCCTATTTATTATCGCAACTATCCTAATAATAATATGACTTTAACGTGACTATGCTCACAATATGATAGGTTGCTTTCATTGCATCTGGTTTCTATAAAATTTTCTTGTTTCTTTGCGTAGACGGTTTAGTATATGGTTTAGTGTTTGTCTTTTATAGTAAGTAGAGGTGAATTCGGGTGAAGTTATAACAGATTTTCACAACTCTATATGTTCATATGAAAAATCCGATCTTGACTTAATACTGTTAACATTTGATTCATCATTTTTGAAATTTTTCTTGCTCATCTAAAAAATATGCCAAAGTTTGCAGAGAGCCGCTTTCGTGAGTATTTTCTTGGAGGGAGAGCCGCCTTCGTGAGTGCTTTTTGAACGAGAGACTTGAATTATTTTATTTATCACAAAGTACTGTTTATACGATACAACTCAATAATATTCATTGTCAAATTTTGTACGAATCTTCTTAAAGGCTTTTTCTTTTTTTTTCTTAAAGCGTTTACTGGCATTGCTTGAGCATTGCTTGAGCATTAAAAGCATTGCGTAGTCTTCAGATCATTTATAAAGGTTATGGGATGTCATCTAATATACCCGAATATAATGGATATATTCACAGTCTAAAGATTCTGTTCAAACTTGTTCTACAGTTTCCAATAATCTTTTTTTCATCACCGGATGTTAACGAAGCAAGCTAATGTACTGAAAATTTTCAGTTTTCAATGTATCTGTAATCCAAAGGTTTTCCACGTTCTATACGTAATTGAAGAAAATAACCATCTATCATTAAATATGATTTTTTTTTTATTTAATTCATACCAAGGCGTTCAACTCTAAAGAATATCGGATATAATCAAAAAGCTTCCGGTATTTAAAAAATAATGTTCGACCTGTTAGTAAAAGAGTGAAAACAAAAATTTAAGTAGTGAATTAAAATTGCGAGTGATCAAATTGGTTTTCATGTATATGTGATTAAATATATAGACAAGTTACTGCCAATATCCTTATAATTAGGGTTCTGCAAACCCGGCGCATGCTGGCACAAAAAAATATTTAAGGCACGGGCCCAACTTGGTTTTAAAATTTGGGCACAGGCACAATACAAGTAGGCGCTTATATAGGCACCGGCACTAGCACTAACACAAGCATACCAGCATTGGTGCCTGGCACGGTACCAACAGTAACGGGCATAAAATCTATTAAGGTCACTACATAGTAGCGATAGTTAATCGATTTAGCGAAATTTTTATCTTTATTATGTATACGTAGTTATTTTCAATAAACCATTTTTTTTTAAAATTATCTATGGTAAAATTGTTTATAAGTTAGGTTTAACTATTAAGATTCTTAATTCTTTAACGCTAATGCAGAAATTGATTACTTAAAATTTTCATATCCAACTTTCACAAGTTAGGTAGTACGTATTATGAAACCCAATTAGAACTCAAGATCCTATCACTATGGATTAAAGACTAATAATAAATTATTTAATTTTACATTGATATCTCGCCATAATAAGTAAAGAAATGAATGATATTTGACCAAATTGCTTATAATATTCTTCACAAACATGGATATGAAGCATCCGATAACGTTATTATCCAGATGTCATCTGTATAAAAATCCGTGAATTCTTATCAATGTAAGATTACAATACTCTTTTTAAATATTGTTTTTTTTTGTTAACGTGTATTATTATGAAGACAATTGGCAATAAAATTATTTGTGTCCGATTTTTCGATTTAAAGGTCACAAGAACAACGTAAAATAACTAATATAAAAATATTATT